TGACAGAACATTAGAAATATCAAAAGTGGAAACATGATTAATTGCCAAAGGCATGACAAAATGATATGTAGCTGATAAGAACTGATAAGAAAGGGAAATGAGCCCTGGCCGGTTTGGCTCAGCGGTTAGAGCGTTGGCCTGCGGTCCTGAGAGACCCGGGTTCGGTTCCCGCTAAGGGCGCGTACCTCGGTTGCAGTTTGTCCCCGGCCCTGGTCGGTTGTGTGGGTGGCAGCCACTCGATGTGTTCCTTTCACATCGATGTTTCTCTCTCTCTCTCTCTCTCTCTGTTCCTCTCTCTCCCTTCCACTCTACCTGAACAAAAAATGGAAAAATGTCCTTGGGTGAGGATGAAAAAAAAAAAGAAAGGGAGATGATTCCTGGAAGGTGCAATGTAATATATAGCAGGCAGAAGTATTTCCAAAGAAATTATGTCAATCTGCTTTAGCTATCCTTTGCATATACCTGCATCATTAATTTGTACAAAGTATTTCTTTTTAATAAAGGATTCACAGAATACAAGTAATTTAATTGACACACTAATCTTAACATTCTAAAAAAATATTAAAAAATTGTCTCTAGTTTCCAAAAATTACATCTCTATCAACAAATTAGCCACAATTAGACAAGTATATTCCACTACCAAATACTGGATTTGCAAAAATCAAAATGTTATGGGCATATGGGAAAGAGGTAACCCAAGCATACACAACATCATTTTTAAATATGATTATCCATGACAGCTTGAAAAACCCACACAAATTATCTATGCCAAAAAGAAAAGAAATTCCACATAAAAACTATAAATGGATATTCCATCATCATACCTCAGGAAAAAAAATATTGGAAGTAGAGGCATTCATATAAGAATTTATTTGTGAATACCTACCCAGATTGTCATGCCATATTCAAAATGAATAATACCTAGTCATAGAAAAGTATCATATAGTTAAGATATATTAAGAAGTAACAGACCTAGCCACAGAAAAATATCATATAATTAAGATATATTAAAAAGTATAAGATCAAAAGATATACCAGTGTGTAACTGTATTACACTCAGTACTTATAATATTAACCTTAACTTTCATTCTTTATGTTCCTAATTGCTACCACCAAATCCACAAAGTAAATATAATAACAGGTGTATATAATAAATATAATAACAGGTAATCCTCCTGTTCACCTTCTGAATGTCTCAGAATATCTGCTGCTATAGCAGGAAAGGTTAAACAGACATTTATAAATTTTGGCTAAAAAAAATTGTGTATACACTAACTGATATCTGAAAGATCCATCATTATTCAAACACAACCACCATTTCCTTTCCAATTAAATACAATGTCTAAATTTATGCCACACAGTACATTTTTCAACAAGTTCCCTTTTTATAATAATAGGAGAAGCCACAAGAACTGTTCTACTGAACAACTTCAAAATCACTAAAAGTTTAACAAAATATACACATTAAAAATCAACATGACAGAAATGGCCATAAAGAGAACACATAAAGTCCGGCTGGTGTCACTCAGTGGTTGAATGTCAACCCATGCACCAAGAGGTCACCAGTTCGATTCCAGGTCAGGAGACATGCCTGGGTTGTGGGCCTGATCCATACTGGGGGGCATGCAAGAGGCAGCCAATCAATGTTCTCTCTCATCGATGTTTCTATCTCTCTCTCCTTCTCACTTCCTCTCTTTCTAAAATCGATAAAGGAAAAAAAAAAAGAGAGAGAGAGAGAGAGCCCTGGCTGATTTGGCTCAGCAGTTAGAGCGTCGGCCCATGGACCAGAGAGACCTGGGTTCGGTTCCCACTAAGGGCATGTACCTCGGTTGCAGTTTGTCTCCAGCCCCAGTTGGGGTCATGTGGGTGGCAGCCAGTCGATGTGTCTCTCTCATATCGATGTTTCTCTCTCTTCTTCCCTCTCTCCCTCCCGCTCTATCTGAAGATAAATGCAAAAATGTCCTCAGGTGAGGATTAAAAAAAAAAGTTTTAAAGAGAGAGAGATCACGTAGAAATAGTTTTAGAAACTTTTTTTTTTTTTATTGTTTTACTTACATTTCAATACTGTGGAAAATTGAAAGAATACAATGAATATTCCATCTAGATTCAACATCTGTGAGCATTTTGCTACAAATGCCCTCCTACTTTCTGTTATCTCCTCCTCTCTCCCTCTTCTTTCTTTCTTTCTTTCTTTCTTTCTTTCTTTCTTTCTTTCTTTCTTTCTTTCTTTCTTTCTTTCTTTCTTTCTTTCTTTCATCTATCATCTATCCATCCTTCCATCCATCCTATTTATTTCTGGCAAAGCTCCCAGTAACTAAATACATTAATACTTCTAAAGAAAAGCAAATTACACTAAGTTATATAAAGAGTATAAATTCAGTTCAAGTTTTGTCACCAAATGGGTTCAGGTAGATCAGGTTATATCCCAAATGAGATTTCCTTTAATGTTTAGGTTTTCAAACTTTTGGATTTTAAAAATGTGGATGAAGGATGATGGGCAGGAATATTATCCCTATGTTACAAAGGAGAAAGCTGAAGCACAGAAAGATTAAACAATTTGTTTGAACCTAAAACAAGTAGCAAAACTAGTAAGTGAAAACAGGCAATCTACTCCAGAGTACTTAAAAGCACTGCTCTAAGAAGTCTCCAATCCAAGAAGAAATCCTTGACTTTCTTTCTTTTTTTTATCCATAATCTGTACATTTACCCCTAATTCCATTATTACCTTCCTATAATCTGAGGCACCATGATCTCTCACTGGGTTTCCTGGACTAGCCTGCTAACCAGGCTACCTGATTCTTCTACCCACTTAACTAACAATAAAGCCAATATTCTTTAAAATAGCATATAAGAAACGATAGGTTCTGTACCCTCTTATTTATCTTACATTTGTTATTACATCTACTACTGTCCCGCTCTCTCACTCCACTCCAGCCTCACTGGTCTCTATGCCGCTGCTGGTCTCCAGGCATGTTCCTACTTAGGGCCCTGACACTGACTGTTCCTCCTGCCTGGCACATGTTTCCCCTGTGCCTTCATGACTCCCCTCTCCCCCCTCCAATATCATCTTCCAAGGAGGCTTACACCACCACTCTATTTAAAACTGCAACTCCCCCTCCAAAGCAGCTGACACTCGGGATCCCCCTTTCCCTGTTCTACTCTTTCTTCTCCTTAAAACTTACTACCTGCAAATATTCTAGACAATTTACTTCTTTCATATTTTCCTGTCTGTCTTTTATCCATAGATTTAAATATACACCAATGTATCACAAGTCCTTAGAAAATCAGCGAGTATATAAGTGCTTAAAAATAACTGTGCTATTGCCCTGGCCGGTTTGGCTCAGCGGTTAGAGCGTCGGCCTGCGGTCCGGAGAGACCCGGGTTCGATTCCCACTAGGGGCATGTACTTCGGTTGCAGTTTGTCCCCGGCCCTGGTTGGTCGTGCAGGTGGCAACCACTCGATGTGTCCCTTTCACGTCGATGTTTCTCTCTCTCTCTCTCTCTCTCTCTCTCTCTCTCTTCCTCTCTCTCCCTCCCACTCTATCTGTATAAGAAATGGAAAAATGTCCTCGGGTGAGGATTAAAAACAAAACAAAACAAAACAAAAAAAAATAATTGTGCTATTAAAATTTCTATGTCAAATTCAATCCATACACTTTGGGCTAAGCTCGCCTCCATTTCTATAGTTGTTAGCATTTCTCAGTATCTATAGAAAAATTAGAATCTCAATAAATAGTCAAGTTTTATACAATTATGCTTTTACTAAGATTTTTTATGTAGAATTATATTTTATAGACATGGACAGATGTTATGTCACCCAGAGAAGACAATAAAGTAACAGTTTATATAGTGTGATCCCTTCTATAAGCAAAACAGTATGTATTTGTGTATATCAAGGCATTGGTATAATAACATTAGGTATTTTTAAAATATTTTCCATCTGTATATTTGTATTTGCTGATATTTTTCATTAATGAATATGTATTATTTGTATGATTAAAAAATAATACAATACTCATATACCCAAAAAGAATTATTCCTCACAATATATTTACCAGCTAAATTCTAACTCTTGTCCTTCTATGAAAGAAAATATTTATTCACTGTAAAAAGAGCTATCATATAATGCAAAAGATATGTGCTATTAATATAATTTAACAGACCACCTACAAATACTGACCTAATTTTTCTCTTTATACATGGGGTGATGTGGCTAATTCTTTTATTTATATAAAAGGTAATGCGGCATACCATTACATTTATATATCTATGTAAAATCTACATATTCAGTCTAGCTTTCAGATATTACCTCTGAAATATTCCATTCAATGACAATACTTTCAGTTGGCTTTTATATTTGTAGTATAAACTTACAAGCATTTCTTTTTATCTTTAAATTCAGAACTATGACATAGTACAAATATATTCAACGTGAGCATTTGCTATTGCTGATATTAAGTGTTAATATTTATTTACTTCAATTGTTTCTTGCTTCAAATTATTTAAAGTAATATACTGAATAAAGTAAAACTATTGATTTAGAACCATTATATTCACCTTTAAAGGTGACTACTATTTCACTAAAGGAAAATCAACAAAAGAGCTAATTTAATGCCAACTCTGAATTTAGAAAATAATAGTCTCCTACTTTCAGAAAAATCTGCTTTAACTTGTAAAATGTATACATAATAGTGGTAATTAACATCTCATAGAGAAGCTTAATTATGAGCAATTATTTTCTTTCCAAATAAAAAACAAGTTCATTTATTGTCTGTTAAAAGAAACCTAAATTGGTTTAGAAATACTTTCCCCTTCACTTAAATCTAGGAAGAAAATACTATATTTTTAATGTTATATACACTCATATTTAACGTTCTTTTAAATGAAGTTTGATCTAGATTTAGATTTTCCAAACTTCAATTCCATTCAATAATTTACTGCAAACTTTTTACAAAATAAAAACAAAAAACAAGTTGTATTTAAAATAAAAGTTTACATACCTTGGCTTCCGAAAAATTAAACTATATTGCTGGCAAGCCAGACCCACAGTGGGGGTATAAACAATAGGCATGAATTTATCAATGTCAGACATTAGCACTCTATAAAAGAGCTTTTCATTTCTATCTTGAAGATCCATTAAGAGAAGATACCTGTGGAAATTAGACAAAATAAGGTCTATATTCTAACAAAGTCATAAAATAGCTACTTAGAAATCTAATTAAACATTTTTCAACAAAGTATGAAGTATTTTTTAGGTCACATAGAAAACATCTGATCAAAAAAGACTTCAAAAATATTCTTAAATACATCCAAGAATGAAGAACCATAAACCTGAGCTAGTGTCATTGAAACATTAAAATAATTACTAAAATTGCACAGTTTTATTTAATATTTAAAATGACTTTATCCCTATTTTAAAATGAAAGATAGATGAAAATACCATTCTAAAAATAGCATTAACTTAACTAAGTAAATTTAAATATGTCATCCTTTAACTTCCAGTGCTGAATAAACCAGGGGAAATAACAAATGAAAAATGAATAAGGAATGTAGCACCAACCCTAAAAATTACTAAGGTAGCAAGCAAATTTAAGGGACTTTTCTTATTATTTGTATCAAATGGCCTTTTTCTGTCTAGAGGCATTTTTGACCCAGTCTTATCTTTCTAAGCATCAACCTTATCGTGTTACCTATAACATTTAATGATTCATTGAATAAAACTCAAACTGCTTGGTACAACTTAAAAGAATATTTCAAAATTGTACTTAATAATCTTACCAGACTTTTTAAATTTATTTCCATTCCCTGAAATAGTTGAAAATGAAGAGCATTTGGTGTCAGACATACAGGATACTAATGCTAGACAAATAGATGGGTCATAGTAACCCAAAAAATTAACATTTAGGTAGAAGATGATGGCTTTTAGACATGCCAAAATTGATTCAGCGATGTGTAAGTCATCATTACTAAATCAATAATCAATTCCCAGATCTCATCTTATTTTACTTATCAAAACATTTGATGCAAGTGGCACTTCCTGGAGGTCAATAAACTCTCTTCCAGGACATCATATTTTCTTGGTTTTCCTTCTATCTCACTGGTTCTCCGTTTCTTTGCAATTTCTTTTCTATTTCGTTTTGCTGTTTTCCCTTCTTCTCTGAAAGCTCTCTAACACTCATCTCTAATATATTAATAAATTATGTTGGCTTTACCTTCATCATATATCCCAAATCTAAACATCTTCATTGCTACCACTCTGGATCGTTATTACAACATTGGATTATTGCAATAATCTAAATATTCTTCCAGCCTACACTTTATTCTCAACATTGCAGCCAGTTTTCTTGAAATATAGCTCAGATCATCTTGTGGGGGTTTTTTTATTGTTTTTTTTTACCTTCACCTGAGGACATTTTTACATTTTTGTTCAAATAGAGTGTGAGGGGGAGAGAGAGAGAGAAACATCGACATGAAAGGGACACATCGTGTGGCTGCCTCCCGCACAACCCCAACCGGGGCCGGGGACAAACTGCAGCCAAGGTACGTGCCCTTAGCGGGAACCGAACCGGGGTCTCTCTGGACCATGGGCCAACTCTCTAACTGCTGAGCCAAACCGCCCAGGGCAACTCAGATCATTTTGATTTCCTGTTCAAAACCTTGAATGGGTTCCCTTTTTACTCAGAATAATAGCAAAAGTCCGTTAGTGGTGTTCAAATACATAATGTGTCTTCTATTACCTTGCTAACTTTCTCCTCCCACTTACCATTCTTCCCCTCATTCATTCTATTCCAGACACAGGTATCCCTGCTGATCCTTGAACATACCAGCGAGAGAACATGACTGTTCCTCAGATCTCTTCATGGCTAACTGCCTCACTGCCTTTAATTGCTTGTCCTAAGTTCCTTTCTCAATGAAGTCTATCCTAATCACCCAATTTAACAAGGCAAACTGACCATACCAATTCCTAGAATACAGTCCTCTTACCCAATTCTACCTTTACTTTTTTTCATTAGCACTTGTCACTTTCTAGCATATTAAATAATTTTGTATACTTTAATAATTATAAAAAAATAATTTACCTAAGTTCAGTGAGTGCAGAGATCATTGTCTATAATCCCAATATCTAAAAGAGCATCTGACACTAAGTTGATGCTCAATGTCTATATGAAGAAAGGTCCATGGTAAAAATATTAAAGTCACCTGCCTTTAGGAGGTAGCTGATTAAATGAACCAGGAAAAGAATATAAAGTAAAAACATAAGACGTTGAAGAAAGAACTTAAAGAACAGTGAAAGGGACTGAGAAGAAGTTTAAGAAGCAGCAAAAATACACAACTGGACAGTCAGCCTCTTTACCCAGCTGCCCTTGTCATCATGAAAAAAATGGCCATGGCAGGAATGGAGGTTATCATGGGCTCAGCAATATGGACTTCCAGTCACTAAGGCTGACCTGTCTTCAGATACTGCTGAGTGTCCAATCTGCCAGAGACCAACATTGCATGCCTGATAGGGTCCCATTCCACGGGGTGATCAGCAAGCCACCTGGTAGCAGGTTGATTACAGTGGACTGCGTCTATCATGGAAGGGGCAGCATTGTTCTTACTGGAATTGACACTCTGGATACAGATTTGCCTTTCCTACGTACAATGCTTCAGCTAAAACTACCATCTGTGGACTTACAGAATGTCTTATCCACCATTATAGTATTCTACAAGGCATTGCTTCTGATCAAAGGACTCACTTTAGAGCAAATGAAGTATGGCAATGGGCCCATATTCATGAAATTCACTGGTCTTACCATGTTTCCCCCACCATACTGAAGCAACTGGCTTGATAGAATGGTAGAATGGCCTTCTGAAGACTCCTTTACAGTTCCAGCTAGGTGGAAATACCTTGCAAAGCTAGGGCAAGGTTCTCTAGGAAGCTATGTATGATCTGAATCAGTGTCCAGTATGATGCTATTTCCCCCATAGCCTGGATCCATAGGTCCAAGAACCAAGGTTTAAAAATGAAAGTGGCACCACTCAATATTATTTCTAGTGACCCACTAGCAAAATTTCTGCTTCCTGTCCCCATGACTTTTTGCTCTGCTGGCCAATAAATCTAAGTCCCAAATGGAGGATATTTCCACTAGGAGACAATTATTCCATTGAACTGGACATTAACACTGTCACTGGCCACTTTGGACACCACATGCCTCTGAATCAACAGTAGAAAAGGAAGTTACTAAGTTGGCTAGGGTGGCTGATTCTGCCTACCAAGGGGAATTTGGACTGCTCTTCCATTATTATTAGTAGTATTCTCTTTAACAAAAAGGAATTCCGCCAGCAGTCTGCCTTTAGATTTGAACTGCAAATCTTTTCTTATTTTCCAGCCTGCCAGTCTACCTGCAGATTTAGGGCTTAAACACACACACACACACACACACACACACACACACACACACACAGTTTCTCTGAAGACCCCTGGAAAACTCTGACCAATACTTATTACATATTGGGTTACCTACCTCTTCACAACAATATTTTGAAATAGCTATTCTCTTCAACCCATAAATGAAAAACCTGAGGTTTAGAGAGGTTCAGTGCTTCAATAAGAAAGGGAAGTCAAAAGCAGAGGGCAAAGCATATAGAGTGGTCCTGACAGTGGTTGTGGTGGTTTGCTCAAGGCCCTACTGCTAGTGAGACACAGGCAGAATTTCAACCTAGGGCTATTTCATTACAAGGGTAGAGAACAACCTTACTTTCATCTTTGTTAAAACATGGAAACTAAATTCTAAATGCGGTAAGTAACCTAAATTCACAGTCGGGTTAGAACCAGATTTGGAAGTTGAAAAAGTGCACTTTCACCTAAAATGTACATGTAGTCGGACTAAAAGCCACTTGAATCTGTTTTGCTCTGTCTAGACTAGCATTTCCTGATAATTCACCTTTATAGCAACAATTTTATCACAAAAGTAGTCTCTCTAAGGAAAACAGTTTTGAAAAGAAAATTTTATTTTATTCAAATGTTTCTACAAAGACTAAATTTTTAAAAAACATCACTGTATTTACAGGCACATTCTCCTCAAATTTTACTACTCTTTTCAAATCACAAACTATTTTAACTTTCTCATCTAATAAAAAATAAACTCAACAACTGCCTAAGAGAAATATAAAAATCACCTTCCAGAAAGTGTTACCTGTCAAAGTCAGAGTTCAGACGCTCAAAATTTTTAATTACTCTCAAGACCTGGATATCCTGACTGATGAAGCAAGGTGGCAACAATCCATGAATATTCAATTGTTGTCTCTCTTCCAGGGTAAAAGCCAAGTCCTATAGAGAAAAGAGAAACAATAATTTGAGGGGGGGGGGGGACAAAATGCATATATTTACACAAATAATATCCAACAAGTATATGGAATTAAGACTTAGAAGATCTGGTGATAAGCTAAACATAGCCATTTGACTGTGAGTAGACCATGTAATCTCTCAATACCTCAGTTTCTTCCACTTTAAATATTAGAATACTATAATATTTTCAGATTTGTGCCACTCATATATATTGATAGGATGAAATTAGGTAATGAATAGGAGAAAATGATGTGAAAATATGCAAATGAAAGATATAAATATCATTGTTAGTGTCATTAAATATAAAATGAATAGGAGTTATTATAAGAGACTTTTACATTATGAACAAACACAAGTAGGTGATTTATGACGTGCTATGCTTCTCCCAATAAAATAGATCAGGTAATACCTTATATAAGATTGAGGCACCTGTTCCAAAACCCCTTTCCCAAGTTATCTCCTACTATTCTTATATACTCCTAACCACGCAAAGCTTCTCACCATTGCCTGAACACACCTGAAACCCTTTTATTCTTCCATGACACTGTGGTTAAGAAAGTCTTTCTTCCCTGCTTCTCTCCCTTAAAACCTTACCTCAAATGCTCTCTCTTCTCTAAAGCTTTCCCAGACTCACCTAGTATGTCCATTAGAACCCTATTATCATACTTATGCTATGTTTCCTATTTACATGGACGCTGATTGTATAAAACAATAGTAAAGAAACTACAAGACTTGAAAACAAGCATACAAAATAGAACTGATGGGTTGATGTAAAGACCCAGACTGGACCTAAGAGATTTGCAGGAATATAATACAAGGGGTAGTAATAGCAGGAGAAATCGCAGTAGTCATTAGTCTAAAAGATTGGAATGAGCAGTTTCCCTTGGAGAGAGGTCTTCCCCTGGGGATTCTGAAGCCCAAGGGGCTCTCTGACTAGACTGTGACTGCTATGCCTATGGGTCTGGCAAAAGTGCACCAACATGATGATGGTCAAGTTCGCTCATTGTGACCACTGCTGATGTTTCTTAGACAACCTGGATGAGTAGGAATGTATCATTAACTTTACAATGGATAATTCTAAAGCCATCCTCCTCTGCCCCTGAAAGTTTCTTATGATGACAACATAGTGATTCCCGAATCTTTGGGAAGTTTATTACTCTGGAGAAAGGAGAGAGAATTTGGTCCAACCCAGAGGTTGACAGACCCTGACTGTTGAGAAATGAACATGTTCCAACCTCAGAAAGTAGGTGAAGGAGGTCAATGAATGAACAACTCTCTATTTCTTCTATTTTTTAAAATATGGATATGCCCATTAATTCACATCACTGATGGAAAGCCTTATGTTCAGACTCTGGGGGGCAGACTGAAAAAAGTTAAATAGATTTGTCCACTAAATGACCCCTGACCCTTGGTGGAGCTCTTTAAGTTGCCTGCAAGAGCTAGCTGGGACCAACAGCTCCTTCTGACTTCTCAAAAGGTCTCCAAGTACAATCAGCACAGCTGGTGTCCAGTTACAAAATGTTTTTCTCCACCAGCAGCCACTCTCATGACCGCAAAGCCCTTATTGTTACATGCTCAGTTGGGGGGTCCCCTGAAACTCCAATAGGTGTGGACAGCAGCAGGAAGGTCCCTTTCCTAGAGGATAATCCATTGTATCCAGCTGTGCCTGCCCAATCACTCTCTCTCGGTATCTGAAGAAGAGCAGATCAGTGCAGCCTGTTAGTTCTTTGCCTAGGAGTTTCAGAAGGCACCAGGAGTCACTCTGCTGACTTTTATATGCCTTTTGTACTTGTCGTTCATGTCCCTATGCCAGAATGCAAATGCCATGAGGCCTGTTTTTTGTTTTGTTTTTTTTTTTATCCTCACCCGAGGACATTTTTCCATTTTTTGTACAGATAGAGTGGGAGGGAGAGAGAGGAAGAGAGAGAGAGAGAAACATCGACGTGAAAGGGACACATCGAGTGGCTGCCACCCGCACGACCAACCAGGGCCGGGGACAAACTGCAACCGAGGTACATGCCCTTAGCGGGAACCGAACCCGAGTCTCTCCGGACCGCAGGCCGATGCTCTAACCGCTGAGCCAAACCGGCCAGAGCAAGGCCTGTTTTTTTCACTGCTTTATCTTTATTGCTTAGAACAAACAGTACCTGATATAATTAGATTTCAGTAATTTAATGTATAAACCATAAGGTTTTAAATATTTAATTTGAGAGAGTTATATTAAAATTTTAAAAATAAAATTGCTGAGAGACCTGGTTAGTATATTAATTCTGGTAAAATTACATTTAAATTTTAAAGCAACCAGCCCTGGCTGGCGTGGCTCAGTTGTTTGGGTGTTGCCCTGTGCACAAAAAGGTTGCTGGTTCGATTCCTGCACATGCCCAGGTTTTGGGCTTGGTCCCTCGTAGTGCGTGTGCAGGAGGTAGCCCCCAATAGATGCTACACTCTCACATGGATGTTTCTCTCTCTCCCTCTCCCTTCCTCTCTTTCTAAACAAATCAAAATCAATAAACTATTCTTAAAAGAAAAGAAAATTTAAAGCAACCAGATCCCTGGCCGGTTTTGCTCAATGGTTAGAGCGTTGGCCTGTGGACCAGACAGTCCTGGGTTCAGTTCCCACTAAGGGCATGTACCTTGGTTGCAGTTTGTCCCCGCCCTGGTTGAGGTCATGTGGGTGGCAGCCACTTGATGTGTCTCTCTCACATCGATGTTTCTCTCTCTTTCTTCCTCCCTTTTTCCTTCCTGCTCTATCTGAAGATAAATGCAAAAATGTCCTCGGGGGAGGGAGGGAGGGAGGGAGGGAGGGAGGAAGGAAGGAAGGAAGGAAGGAAGGAAGGAAGGAAGGAAGGAAGGAAGGAAGGAAGGAAGCAGAAAGGGATATCTGCATGAAAAAGTAACCATAAAATGAAAGACACATTTCCCCTGTTAAAGATATAACTGGGAAGATTCATAAAGCAAAATGTCATGCAATAGTTCCTTGAAGTAATACAGAATTATGTACCATAATATATTTGAAAAAGAAAGAGAAGAAAACTCAATAAATTTTTCTCAAACCTGAAAAATTTGGAAATTAAAAATGAGGAAAAAGCTAGGCCAGTGTTAAAGTCCCAAAAATACATGAATACAGGGGTAGGCAAAAGTAAGTTTACAATTGTTCATATGGGAAAAAATACAATAATAAATAAATAATAATACAAAAATAGACTCTGTTTCTCATACTCACAACTATAAAACTACTTTTGCCCCACCCTGTATATGTGAAGAAGCAGTAAAATTCTGAATGCTATGCCTTAAAAATCTGCCTGCAAAAATAATAATCAAAATATCAATATTCTGGTAATAAGACTTGTTATCAGAAGTACTAACATATGCTCTTTCATTCACTTAATAATGGCACTTAAGTATTATTTATTGGTGTAGTTATTAGCCAGTCTTTTTACATAACTTTTCCAATGAAAATTTATGACACTAATTCCTAAAACTAACAAGTCTCTCATATCTTATGCCATGAAAATAATATTGCCATCTGGATATCTTTTAATATCTTTGATGTTTAGTTACTATAAACTCCTATACACTGCTGGCAAAAATTTCCAAGACATAGTAAGGTGCCAATTCAACTCTATAAAATAAAATAAAACAAAAATAGAACCTGGGGAATTAGGCCAAGTTAAATTCCTGTGATTGATTCATATTCTCTATTATTATTACCCTTTATGAATTTTTAAAAACCAATGAATAAGTAAAATTAAATCTAAAAATGCAAAAATATATGGTATGATTTCATTTAAATGACAGTTTTTAAGAATGACACATCAATGTGATTCCTACCAACCAGCAGCTTCCCAAAATGTATTCAGAGAAACAGTAAGTGGAATTTTGAACCATTTAGCGATCCTAATTATACAGTTCATTTTTTCATACTAACAGAAACATATTCATAGATATATTTTCTGGAAATTTACAAACAAATTAGTTATGTCTAAAACTTGACAGTAAATTGCTAGCTTTATATATTCTTTTTATTAAAAGCTGATGTAACATACAAGTGTTCAAAGATTTTTACCTTAGGGTTATCCTGTAGGGCCTATCCAACAAAGGATAGTGTATCCAAAGCATACATGCAGGTTCTAACTTTCATTTTATTTCTACTGAATCTCTGATGTAGTTGAAAAGTTTAGACATCACATATTGGGTTTCCAGACCAGCTATAATTCTAATTCCCTAAAAGCATTTTCATACACTCTAGGTTCAACTTCAGTTTTCTCCTTTTATGTCTTCCTTTTACTTTCCCTATTCCCTAAAAAGCTTTTGGACTAGACCTCTAGACAGCAGAATAGTATGTTGTTTCACTGCTGAGGGCAGAAACAGGACAGCTATTCTTCTGGACTTTACTAATTAATCTATGTATATCTTCTTGAGAAAACGGAGACTATTAAGCAGAAATGAAAACAAAATTCCTGGCATAACAAGAGACATATTAGAAGCTATGTTTGCACAGTGCAAACATAACTGAGAAAGAAACTAGTTTTATTCTGAGTAATTTATGAGAAACTATTCATTGAAAACAATATATTCAGTATTCTACACTAACCATCTTTAATGTTTCCAGTGAACTTTAGTAGTTTTCCTTCTTTTTTCCCTGAATAATGATTAAAAATAATGTCTGAATGGCAAAAAAGGAAAACATTATCTAAGTCACAAAATCTTAAAGATGAGTAATCTATACATGTATAATAATTCATTATGATAACAGGATTTATTATTTTTAATGTTTGAAGCCACAGTCATATTAGGACAGAGATGTCTGTATATTTTGTTCAACTGGTGAACAAAATTATTCTAGTATCTAGAATAATACCTGCCACTTTTTAGGCAATTAACAAAAATGTGTTGGATTAACTAATTACTAATGATTTCTGTAACTATACAATTGGTCTTATCGGTTTGGGAGAAAACAAAGCAGAAGTGAATAAAGAAAG